GTGATGGATGGTGACATATATAAAAATGGTACAAGATTGGTTGGCAGTGTTCTCATATTGTGTAATCGTTTATAAAGTTGTGTGTTATTGTTACGGGGGAAATGGTGTGGAATAGTTACAGTAATTAATACCTAATAAATTCACATTAACCCTTGCTTTAGTGTAAATTCTGATGAAATTGTGTCTCTACTCTGTAAGTGGAACAGACTTACTGGGTTTTCTGTAGTCTTTAAGAATTGGAGCTCAAGGAGGAAACTCAAATCTTACAACACAGGAGCAATATAACATCTAGTGCCAGTTGCATTAATCAAACCCATGACCTTAAACATGTTTAGCAGTAGTGCTAGCCACTCAGCCAGCATCTAAACTCTTTTTCACTCTGTATGGACAGCTGCTGTTAAGTGCATCTCAGTTGAGTTTTCCCATAGGTAACGATTCAGAACTGCATCCTCCGCTTATCTCTGTGCAGTCTGGAGAGAACAAGAAAGGAAAGTGTTTTTTGTATGCCAAACCCACATCTTGAGCCACAGCACCCCTGGGGAGGAAGGCTGCCTTAAGGACCCAAACTTTAAGGCAGCCTTCCTCACCAGGGGTGCTGTGGCCTTCTGGCTTCCTCAGTGGTGCCTTGAAATTGTTGCGCAGCACTATGCGTTTTCATGGTGCAGACGGGATAGCCACCAGTTGTGCTGGCATTTTGTGTTATACTGCGACAACACTCTGACTCCCTCTCTCAGATGGAGAATACAAGCATTTGTGCTGACAGACTTCGCATTGGCATGTTCTGTTTTTGTAATAATCAGGAAATTTGCCCTGAAAAATAATGTGCAGCTAATGCTGGAATGCATGTAGACAGGAAGTTGCTGCAAATTGGCTACATGAGATCAGCAGCTAAAATTAAATGAAAAAAAGTGAAAATTATATTTTATGAAGGAAATGTTTATTATACACAGTGATTTTTCAAACTGTTTTAATCTAGTTAAGATCTTCTGATACGTTAGGGTTCTATGTGAGGTTCTATATGATTGCTACTCAAAGTTACTGAATGGCAAGGCATTAGTCTGCTTGGGGATGTTTCTTTGGCTTGGGAGTCCCATTTATTCTTTATTTGCATGTTTCCAAATTTCAAATACAAGAACAGTAAACCAAAGACAGTTGAAAAGTTGGTTTATGTAAATGCCATTCATTTTTTCAAATAATTTCTGTACTCGCTATTATTAAAGTTCTCTGCCCTGCTTGTGCTGCCTTGGGAAACTTAATTGCATTTAACTTGTATACTAAAGAAACATCTTCTGGGGAAAGTGTTAAATTACAGCTTGCCAAAGTTTGAAGTAAGTGGGTAAGCAGACAAGAAAACCAATGTTACCTCCAACTGCACATTAAATGGGCTTAATTATGGTCTATTCAATTTGAAAACGAATTGAGCGCAGCTGGAAAGGATATTTGAAGTGTGTACTAAATCCTCTGACGTCAAGTAAGCTAACATGTTCATGCTGCAAATTTTGCATTTAATGTATGCTAGAAAAGGGGCTTTTCATTCTACTAAAATGGTAGCTTTCTTATTTCAAACCTCATTTGTTCTGCTTTTGTAGTAAGTGATTTTTTTTAAGGTTTTTTGTGTGTGTGGGATAATATGTATACTGTCCCATAATTTATAAGACCAGTGCCGTTGCCTTCTGGGGTTTTCCTTCTGTCTTGTGACTGTATTGTGTAATATGTTCACTAAGGATAAAGGCCATCAAACAAATCATGTTTGCTGTTAGTGAGCATATATGAGACCAGCCTATGAGCAATTTCTTAGATCTTAGTGTCTAAAACGAAGGCTGTAGAAATGCAATACATGTCACATGTAATGCAGGCGATCGCACTGTGGGCGAGGGGCCTGCCTGCGCAGCCCACGCCCCCTCCTGCCCCTGAATGCAGGTGTTTTTTCGTTGGTAGATCTCAATGAGCTCGTCATTTGAAAAGTAGATCTCCAGACGAAAAATAGTGGGCGCCCCTGGCCTAGACTGTCATAGTTAGGTTTATCATCTTAATGGGTGAGTCCAAGAAGGAAAGCACCCTTGGCAATGTGCTGCACTTGTAGGCTTATGGGTTTTTCAGGCAAGGAAAGTATCACCACAAAGCAATTTTCTAGGTTGTCCACAGTTTTATAACAGTGGTGAACCCCAAGAGCAGGGTCTTGCCTACTTGTTAATTTCCGAATATAAGTGGAAGGCAGGAGTGGGGGGTAAGTACATTCATTTACTACAGGCTGAACACTTACAGGATTATTCACAAAAGGGTGAAGAGTTGAGAAGGCAGGAGAAGTGACCAATCTAGGACAACATAGCTGATTTGGAAAAATCCTCCAATTCAGCTCACTTTCCAGTTCAGCTATTTTGGCCTAGATTGTTCACTTCTGCAAACACTTCACCCTTTTGTGAATAACCCTGTTAATCTCCAATGTTATACTGTATAGCAGAGGTTTTGATGCAAAGGTTAAAATAACTTTCGTAATTAATGTAAGCAGGCTAGGCAAGGCAAGAATCAGTGTAAGGGTCCAAACTGAGTTGCCTTGGAGTCATGGCAGTATTTGCCAGGGATCCCGGTCGGCTGAGCCTCCTGCTGACATATTGGAGCTTGGGCCTGGTGCAGGAGGGCTGCCTGTGCCCCTCTATCGGCGGCCCTGCCTGATGTCATTGGTTTTTGGAGGGGGCCTGCTCTGGATT